GCCGAATCTGGTAGTAGGCTCTCTGGTGCTGGCATTAGCTCAAGCTACTGAATGTTGCTGTGATATTTTGCTTGTTCTTTCGGGTTGCACAGGACGCAATCAGTGATGTCGAAACTGTATGAGGATCAGCATCAATGATTGTGACCTCTCATAGGAACAGCTGCGATATTTGTTGCAGTGATAGGTGAAGTGTATACTCCGGTTTGAAGCTTCTTCTTCGAGGAGTGGGATTGAATCGAAATTTTTAGCTTAAATACCCTCGCCTACCTCTATAATTTTGCCGCCCACAGATGTTAATATGCCGTCAATGCTGCCGCCTTGGCCTTGACATGAATATTACTGATTTAAACGAATTATTTCAGTTTACTTTTTAAATGATCACAACTTCGAAAAGATCATGCTGACTTCATTATTAGCTCAAATAGCATGACTGAGTATGAAAATGAGAGATGTCGATTTTTAATGCGAATCCACTTACCACCAACAACTATATTGCCGCCGCCCATAGGTGTCACTTCTTCAATGATTTCGTTGCCACCCATGACGGTTCTGGTCCCTAAGCAATTTATCATAAGAAAATCCTTCAAGCCTTCAGTTTTCCACCTTCAGTTTTGTCTCGGAGCAATCGAAGGATTGTACAAACATATTAGTGGTTTTCTTAAACAACTGGAATTCCGATGCGAAAAACCGTGAGCTCTTCGAATGGCGTATTTTTATGTAGAAACTCGTCGAAATTGACTCGAAAGCCTTTTCGTAGGCGACGCAATGGGTATTCATTTATTATAGCAGTTATTAATTGGATCAATAGGTCTAAATTTCAATAGAAAAAAATTGTTGCGTAACATTTAGATGATTTTTGTCATATTTTGAAAACTTATCGCTCAATATGATCGTCTCGCATCGTTAAACATGAGTTGCGTTTTCCGCAGATATTCAATAGCAATGCGACAAAAATTTGCCCACTATCGGCAATTACTCTTTGACCCCAATAGTAACCAGTTCCGCTACCATATATGAAAGATGCGGAACTGGAATGTTCTTAGCTGGATTGAACAGATCAGTTTTATGTGATCATCACAACACAGTTCGGAAAGGAGTCTTATAATACGAAAATTTTTCGAATTCGCCGGGCATTTTTGAGCGTCGTGAACGGCGGTGAGTCAAAGCAAATTCCATGAAAAATTCCTCACCTTTCACCATTATTCCGCCAGATCCACTCCCAGTAGACAGTATGCCGTTCATTCCCCCGCTGCTCACCATAGATCCAGAACCTAAATGTCAATACTCGAATCTAATCACCATTAACCTCATCAAGCCTCTAGATTCAAAAAAAAATCTCCTGAATGCAACATTGAGAGCTTGTTTTTTTCATTTCTTCATCATGATTGGCATTTCACCATGATCTAAATTTTATAACTGGTGATTGTTTGGATTCAGCTCTCCTGAAAGGATCCTCACCTCCCATCATCATGTTTGCATTTTTGTTACTC